GTGCTATACGTTGCTGTTACTACGTACCGTTGCATTTCTCGTAGCCGTCGCCCTGGTAACCGTCTGAGCATGCGCAGTAGTAGCTTCCGGGAACGTTGACGCAGTTTGCCTTTTCGGCGCACAGGTTGTCTCCGGCGGCTTCTGCGCATTCGTTCTGGTCTGCAAAAGTTATCGTCATGATTTAGTCGGATGCAAGAACGCATATATACACCTGCATACGGACACGCTCGTGCACGCATACACCCCATCTTCAAACATACACGCACGAACGCATGCACACGCGTGCACGCGCGAGCACATGCACGCATGCACGCGTGCATACGCCCATAGAAATCGATGTGGAAATTGGGTTATAGGAACGCCCGTGATCGCCTTGTCTTTCGCATGAGCTCTCTGTCGCTGTATTCCTCTGTCTCTTTCTCTCACCGTTTCTCTCAACTAACCTCCCCTCTCTCCTCTCTCCTCTACTCTCTCTCTCTCTCTCTCTCTCCTTCCCCTACTTCCCTGTTTCTTTCCTCTTTCTCTTTTTCTCATCTTGCCTCCTTCCTGACCGCTCTCTCTTTCCTCTCTCTCCCCCCTCTCTCTCTCCTTCCCTCCTAAGCTCCCCCTCTCTCCTCTCCCTATCCTTCCCTCCTAACCTCCCCCTCTCTCTTTCCTCTCTCGCTCTTTCTCTCTTTCTCTCTCACGTTAAACCCCACGCTGTGTGGGCATCCGGGTGCGGCGGACAGGCGGGAGCGTTAACACAGCAGTGCTACGAACCACTGGCCGACAGGCGGCTATTGTGTGCGTGCGTGCATGCGTGCATGCGTGCGTGCGTGCGTGCGTGCGTGCGTGCGTGCGTGCGTGCGTGCGTGCGGGGGTTGTTGCCGTGAGCAGGTATTGTTGACGGCCCGCTGCCGTAGCGGTTAGCTTATTCAGGAAGCACGTTATAATGACGAGCGGGGTGGACGTACGCATGACACTGCCGTTACTCCGGCCACGGGGGAGGCGGCGGGCAGGAGGAGGTGCTGGACGGGGTACGGGGTGGTGGACGGAAGCGGAGGCGGGGGAAGGGGACGGGAGCGGAGGAGGAGGCGGGCGAGGTGACGGACAGGAGCGGCGCGGGGGAGGGAACGGAAGCAGGGGAGGGGGTGGACGTACGGATGACACTGCCGTTACCCCGGCCACGGGGGAGGAGGACGGGGCGGGGGCGGGGAGGTGCGAGCGTGGTGGGGTGCGAGAGTGGAGGCGGGGAAGGGGACTGGTACACTACAGTGAGGGAGTGCGAGACCTGCATGTACGACGGCGTGAACTAGACAGGTCACACCAACCAAGTAATAAACAGAGGACACGTGGAACAAAGGAGGCGTGAGGATAGGATTTTCAGAAATAGCTGTGTATACGTTTCATTGTACGGACACGCACGCACACACGCGTACACGAAACACAGAAGCTTGTGTGTAGTAGATGAGTGTATGAGTGTATACACGCACACACACTTCATCCGCTCATCCGCAACAATGGCTTCCTATTAAGTTTCTGATGCGGGACTAGCCTCGAGGCAACTGCTAGGCAAGATGTCAACAATTAATGAAATTTGGCTTATACTCATTGAAACATAAACCTGTCTAAGAATTAAATATTGCGAGAATATAATAGCGTATTAGGTCACTAGCACACAGACAGTGAATTTTGCAAGCATCCCGGCGCCGATACTTCTTTTGCGATGTAACTAATTGACTAGACATGACAAACGAGTTAATTCTTATATGTATATATATATATATATATATATATATATATGTTGCTTTTACAACACAAAGGCGCAATCATTCATGCACGAGCAAGGACTGTGGTCTCAAAGAGCTCGATTAAATTCACGCGTGTTTGACACAGCTCGCGCATGGGGTTGAACATCAATGACAGGTGCAGACAACGCACAGCGTGTTTTGCAATGGCAACCACACCGGCCTCACACGCCCATCATCCGCTCTGCGCCGACGTCAAGTATACTCTCTAAACAGTAAATCTCCTGCTCCGCGTGTGGGAGATTTAAAATCGTGCTAGATATCTGTATTGGTAAATGTCTTTATGAATATGAATACCTCTTATAAGCGGGTCTTTAAGAAGAGGTTAAGTGTCTTCATCTTTACTAAATGCCTTTATTTGCATAAAAGCTCTAAATTGGTTATGTACGGTATTCCTCATATCTTTTCTCGATATGAGCAGAGACACAGCAAGGAGAAGGAGAGAGGAGAGAGGTGAGAGGGAGAGGAGAGAGGATAGATGAAGGAGAGAGGAGAGAGGAAGAGAGGAGAGGAGAGGGAGAGAGAGGAGTAGAGGAAGAGAGGAGAGAGGCAGGAGAGAGAAGAGGAGATAAGAGAGAGGAGAGAGGAGAGAGAGAGAGAAGAGCGAGGTGAGAGAAGAGGAGGGAGGAGAGACGGGAGAGAGCGCGGAGAGAGAGAGAGAGAGAGAGAGAGAGAGAAAGGAGAGCGAGAGAGGAGAGAGAGAGAGAGAGAGAGAGACGAGAGAGAGAGAGAACGAGAAGCGAGGCGAGAGAGAGAGACGGAGAGACAAGAGACAGAGAGAAGACGTGAAGAGAGGAAGCACGAGGCAGAGGACAGCGCGAGAGCGAGAGCAGAAGAGCGAGAGCGAAGAGCGAGAGAGAGGAGAGAGAGAAGAGAGAGGAGAGAGAGAAGACGGAGAGCAGAACGAAGAGAGAGAGAGTCAAAGGAGAGGAGAGGTGAAGAGAGACGCCGAAGCTGAAAGGAGTAAGAGAAAGCGTAGCTGCTGTACTCAGCCATACGGACTATCGGTGCCATCTCCCATAACGCGTACAGTGGATAAGAAGACAGCGCTAATGAGGGGAAACGCACCCCACGCCGAATACAACGAACAGTATATAGATGCCAAAGGGAAGAGGCACAGAATCAGCGACACAATCATGAGGACGCTAAGGCCAGCCAGCCGCGCACAAGTCGACACACACACGAGAGACAAGTCGACAGAGGGTAACCACCGAGACACAGAGCACCACAAGAACCAGTGGGTTCCGCCTGGACGGACATCGTTCGACCACACCAAACGAGCACAAAGCTACGCAACTGGCGCCCATGTAATGTAACAGGGGAAGATGCCGCGACGCAGTCAAACAGCACACACACAGCCACACACCACACACATCGCATCGACATCACACACACTGATGCCACGAAAGCGATGTTTCTTTGACCATGTCGAGGCGCTTTCCGCTAAAAGCAGCAACGAGCATTGGAATGCACTAACGGTAGCGAACGCAACCACACTGCGTATAAAAGTAATTCACAGTGCCTCTAACAAAAGCAATACGCTAAGCCGCGCGAGCAAATACACTAAGCAGCCGCGCCGTGTTATAGTCGTTACGCGAATATCTGACGGAGGCGATACAGAACTAGTGTGACTTATCGTGAGCAGCGTAGATATTTATGAGTGGGAGGCGGGTCGCAGCGTGGCATCAATTATCGGATATATATTATATATAATAATATATAATAATATATATACTGGCAGGATCTCCGCTGATGGCTTTCAGGTGTGGGAATGAAGTTGAATGAGTAAGCCATGGCCGACCGTATGCGGATGCTGTCGAGAGCGCGCGGAGATAAAAAAAACAACGGCGATAAAAGAGGGTAAACAATCGAGGCGAAGTGCTGCTGCTGCTGGCTGAGGTGGTGGTGGTGACTGATGCTGGCTGGTGCTTGAATCCTGCTGATGCTGCTGCTGCTGATATGAAGTGATTCTCTCTTCTCCACTCTCTCCTCTCTCCCTCTCTCCTCTCTCTCTCTCTCTGCTCTGCGTCTCTCTACGATCGCTCTCGTCTCTCTACTCACTCACTCCAACTTCTTCTCATCTCTCATCTATCTCTGCTCTCCTCTCTCTCGTCTCTCTCTCTCTCTCTCTTTCTCTCTCTCTCTCTTCTTTCTCTCTCTCTCTCTGCTCTCTCGCATGCGCATCATCTCTCTCTCTCTTTCTCGTCTCCTCGTCTCTCTCTCTCAACTCTATGCTGCTCTCTCTCTACGTGCGTCTCTCGCTCTCTCTGCGGGGCGCTCATCTACTAAGTGCTCTCGTCTCGATCCTTTCCTCTCTGCTTTCTTATCCACGGGAGATCTCTCTGTCTCTCGCGCAGCGCGCCATCATCTCTTACTCTCTCTCTCTCTCGTCTATCTCTCTTTCGCGGCGTCCATTATCTCTGTCTGCGCCAGCGTTAAGATGTTAGTTGGAAGTATCCCGCGCCCAGCTAGGGCACCACGGCCTAACAACGCGGCTGTATCACTGCCGATCACGGGATGGTCTCTAATGGTCCACACATCCGTCATGTCAGCGTGATATAAAGTCACTAGGAAGTAGGACACAAATAGCAAATGTTTATTATTGAGCGCTCGTCGCGCCTAACGATTCTTTCTTCCTTCTCTTTTCTCTCTCTCCTCCAGTCGCCACACTCCTCTCATCGTCTCTAGTCTCTCAGTCGTCGTCTCTCGTCGCTCTCGCTCTCTCGTTCCGGTTCTGCTTTTCTCTCTCGGCTCGCTCGGTCTCTCTCCTCGCTGCCTCGTGCTCGAGGTCTTTCTCTATCTCTCTCTCTCCTCTCTCGTCGATCTGCCTCCTCTCGCTCGTCTCCCTCTCGCTGCTCATCTCTTCTCGATCAGTCTCTCGGTGTCGCCTGCCGTCTCCTCTCATACGTCGCTTCTTCTTTCTCATCTCTCCCTCTCGCCGCTGCTGCCTCCGGTTCAGTCTCTCTCTCATAATGAGTTCATCCGTCATCGGTTTCCTCTCATTATCTATTCTGCTACTGCTGCCTCTCTCTCTCTCTCTCCGTCTCTCTCTCTCTAGTATATAGTATATATATATATGAGCGAAAGCACAAGAGAGAGAGAGAGCAGAGAAGAGAAGAGAGAGAGAGCGGAGGAGAGAACAAGAGTACTACCCCTTATTTATCTACGCATAATCTCTGCCATCCAACTGAGTCACGAACCCTCCAACTTCTTCGCGCTCGCCTCGGGAAAGCACGCGGCCCCGGTCTCTTGCCCACTGCCGCCTGATAGCTAGCAACGAGGCCGCCCCACTTGTACCCGTGATCCCGGCCCACCAGATCGCACATCACCCGAATGCTCTTCGCCCGTGCGGGGTTCGCTGCTCAGCACCAT